ATCCCCCTGGCTTCCCCTCCCCCCCTGTGGCTTGTGTCCATTGGTTATGCTTATATGCATGCATACAAGTCATTCGGTTGATCTCTTACCCCCCCTCCCGCCCCCAAACCCTCCCTGTCCTTCCCACTGTAGTTTGACAGTCTGTTCGATGTTGCTCTGCCTCTGTATCTATTTTTGTTCATCAGTTTATAATGGTCTTTATTATCCATAAATGAGTGAGATCATATGGTCAATTACCATGTTTCTCGATTATTAGTTAGGATAATTTTGGGAAATGCCAGGTTAAAGACTATTACATGATTTCATTACTCTAAGATATCAGTCTCTAAAAGGAGGCTCAAGTATAAAGTGTTCTGCAGCACATACCTTTGGAAAATGCCATTCTTAGCTCTTTTCAGAGCTAAGATTCTCTCTCATCATTGATGTTATCCTTTCTCTTAAAAGGTAGAGGCCCTGGCCAGTGTAACTCACTTGGTTGGAGTGTTGTCCCATACACCAAAAATTGCAGATTCAAGTCCTGGTCAGGGAACATACCAGGTTGCAGGTTTGATCCCCTGTTGGGGTGCATGCAGGAAGCAACCGATCAATGTTTCCCCCTCTCTCTCTCTCTCTTCTTCCTCTTCTTCTTCTCACTCTTAAAAAAAATCAATTGAAAAGATAAGGAGCAACATGTATAACTTGATCATTCAAAATTCATGACATTATTATTTACAAAGCATTTTGTCATTATGAGTCATACTAGCTAGACCTCCACTGAGATATCCACACAGAGCTTTTGGCTACTAAAACAGATATCAGTAATATTTTTTTTATTTACTGATTTGAGAGGAGGGTGGGACAGAAACATCAATTTGTTGTTCCACTTATTTTTGCATTTATTGGTTGCTTTTTAAAAAAAATTATTGATTTCAGAGAGAAAGGGAAAGGGAGAAAGAGATAGAAACATCAATGATGAGAGAGAATCATTGATTGGCTGCCTCCTTCATGCCCCCAACTGGGGATAGAGCACACAACCTGGGCATGTGACCTGGGCTGGAATCGAACCCAGGACCCTTCAGCCCACAGGCTGATGCTCTATCCACTGAGCTAAACCGGCTAGGGCTATTGGTTGCTTCTTGTATATACCCTGACAGGGGAGCTTATCAGAATAACACTGTAACCAACTGAGCTACCCAGTCAGGCTATCAGTAATAATTCTAGTTCTGTGTCATTAATTTTTGTTACCAGAAGACCTAAGCATAAATAAGAGGAAAGATTTGGGGAAGGAGGAGAAGTCTAGAAAAGATAAAGGGAAAGAAAGTCGGCAATCAAAAGGAAAGATTTATTTGGTGCTGTGGGTCATAATGCTGTCAAAGAGTCATTAGGGTAATTTGTTCCTTTTTTGTCTTGATAGAATCTTTAATGTCAGAGGAGCATTTGGATGTGAAGAGTAATGCTTTTATTCGTGCTTTGTCTGTCTAAATTATTAACCTTTAAGCTATTACAGTATTTACATACCAGTTATAAAAATGTATTTATTGTATAAATTATATTTTTTCAAGCATTTAAACATTGAAAAGTCACTCAAATTGGCTTTTTACAAATATTCTTTAATACCTTAAAGAGCATGCAAAGCACCTCACACAGTGATTTCAAAATTGATTATTGTACGTAACATTAAAAGCCCATTATAAAACTATGTTAATATCAGGGATTTAAATGTGTCATTTAAAAAATTATCTCTATTATTCCGATCCATCTTTTTTAAAATATATTTTTATTGATTTCAGAGAGGAAGGGAGAGGGAGAGAGAGATAGAAACATCAATGATGAGAGAGAATCACCGATCAGCTGCTCACTGGGAATTGAGCCTGCAACCCAGGCACGTTCCCTGACTGCAAATCGAATCATGACCTGTTGGTTCATAGGTCGACGCTCAACTAGTGAGCCACATCTACCAGGCCTGATCCATCTTTTATGTCCTTATTTCATTTTCTTCCCATTGTTATGTTTTTTATTTTTTTATTTTTTTATTGATATCAGAGAGGAAGGGATAGGGAGAGAGAGAGACGGAAACATCAGTGATGAGAGAGAATCATAGATCAGCTGCCTCACGCATGCCCTCACTGGGGATCAAGCCCACAACTGGGGCAAGCACCCTTGACTGGAATTGAACCCAGGATCCTTCAGTTTCCAGGCCAACACCCCATCCACTGAGCCAAACCAACCAGGGCCCCATTATATTTTTATTCACTTAATCTAGAGAGTTAGAGTTCCCCTCTCAGCTTTATGGCATAATGACATACTTAGAATCACTCAGAAAAACAAAAACAAAAAACAAAAAAAAAGAGAGAGAGAATCATTCAGAATGACTCTACTCAAATCGGTTACCTGAATGGACAGACTCCTTTTTATAGTTAGTTTCTTATATAATGGATATGATCTATTTAAATTATTGGCTCCAACCATTCAGATATGGTTTTATTGTGTGTGTGTGTCCTTAATCATTGTTAAAATGACACTTATTTCCAAGTGACTCACCTTCTCTTTACTATTCAATTAATGTAACTCAGTTTGCAGTTGTTTCTTTTGAGTAGGCCCTGATCTGGTTCAGTTAAATGAAAAGCCTAAGGTCTGTTTGAGTCACTGCAATTACAAGGTGTTTTTTAGTTGTTTTGTTTTAATTTTAATTATTGTATATGCACAAAACTTAATATTAAAATTTTTTGGAGAAAAAGTTCTGTTATTCTGAAAATGAAGGAAATTATGTACAAGAAGGTATTTTTTCACTTATATCATAAACTTGATCCTTTTCTCTCCTTTGTGATTGTAGCAGGAAGAAGCAGAATGGGAGAGCATAAACGTGCTGTTGATGACGCATGGCTTAAAACCTTTAGTTCTAGTCAAAAGAACAGATCTTAAAGGTAACCAGATCCTATTCTTGCTCCTGATGGTAAAAAGCTGTTTTTTCCTTTACAATATTTTTTTCTTAAAAATTTTTTGCCTTACCTTTATTTTTACTATTTGTATTCTATTTTTAAAAAAATATAGATCTCATCGTTTTTGACAAACGGTCATCACAAAGGATGAGACAGAACTTGCAAACGTTGATGGAAGAAACAGCGCGTCAACAGAATGTGATCCAGGAGCTCATAGAAACTAATCAGCAGCTTAAGTAAGAAAATGGGGTAGGGGACCTCTCTTGAATTTTTTGTATCTAGGTGGATGCAAATACAAATATATATTTTTAAAAAATATTTTTATTGATATCAGAGAGGAAGGCAGAGAGAGATAGAAATATCAATGATGAGAGAGAATCCTTGATTGGCTGCCTCCTGCACGTCCCCCACAGGGGATTGAGCCTACAACCCGGGCATGTGCCCTTCACTGGAATTGAATCCGGGACCCTTTAGTCCGCAGGCCGATGTTCTATCCACTGAGCCAAACCAGATAGGGCACAAATATAAATATTTTTAATAGGTAATCTTTTGGTGATAGCTTAGCAAAGAAATTTTAGAAATTCATTATGTTATTAGATGAGTAGATTTGTTGATGTGATTTGTGTTTATTACTAAGGAAGGACTTGTGTGTCTATCATTAGAAAAGAACTTCAACTAGAAAAATGCCGAGCAGTAGATCAGGAACAACGAGCTAATGACTTGGAAGAAATAATGGAGGGTGTGAAATCCAAAATTGGTGAATTGGAGGATGAATCCATAAATAGAGTTTGCCAGCAGCAGAATAAAATGAAAGATCTTCAAAAGGAGCATAAAGCTTTACAGGTACTGAGTTATATATTTTCTTACATAATAGTAATATAAAACAGATCATCAAGGTTACAGGTGACTTCCATGTTGCTTAATTCAATGGTCTTTACCTTACTTGGCCTATTACTGTTTCTTCTTGAGATTCCTCCTTTGTTTCTAGAATATTTTCTCCTTTGGTTTCCCTCTAACCCCACTGCTGATTCTTCTTATCTCCCTAACCTCTCAGTGTTGGGATTCCCTAGTAGTAATTCCTTAGTCCTTTTCTCTTCCCTATATACTCTAACTCCCTTGGTGATGCTCAGTCTTTCTTAGCACCTAATTTAAATCTATAGTCCAAACCTCTTCCCTTACTTCCTGACTCATTTCCCACTACCCACTTGACATCACTAATAGGCATCTAGAACTTCACATGTCTAAAACTGAGTTCCTGTATTTCCTCTCCAAAACTTTCTTCTTTTAGTCTCCATTCTGGTCCAAGTCACCTTCACTTATCTCCTGCTTCTCTCTTGGCTTTGCTGCTTCTCACCTTGCCTTTTTTCTTTTTCTTTTTTTTTGTTAATCCTCACTGAGGATGCTTTTCCATTGATTTTTAAGAAAGAATGGAAGGGAGAGGGAGAGACAGAAAGAGAGAAACATTGAGGTGAGAGAGACACATCTACTGGTTGCCTCCTGCATGCGCCCCAACCAGAGCCAGGCATTGAGCCTGTAACCGAGGGACTCGCCCTTGACTGGAATCGAACCTGAGACCCTTCAGGAAGGGCCGTCACTCTACCTACTGAGCCAGAGCAGTTAGCGGTCCCCTTGGGGGTTTTTTTTGGTGTTTTTTTTTTAACATATTTTTATTGATTTCAGAGAGAGAGAGAGAACGAGAGAGAGAGAGAGAGATGATGAGAATCATTGATTGGCTGCCTTCTGCACGCCCCACACAGGGGATGAACCCCACAACCTGGGCTTGTGCCCTGACCGGGAATCGAACACTGACCTCCTGGTTCGTAGGTCGACGCTCAACCACTGAGCCACGCCACCCGGGTGAGACTGTTAATAAAGGCTCACTGCGATGGACAATGAAAAATTCTCCACAAGGATATCTGTAGATTATCAAAGGAGGAGGAAGAGCGCATTGCCACTCAAAACAGAGTATTTTCTTATCTCTGCAAAAGAGTTCCTCATACCATCTTGGATAGACAGTAATGTTTACTTTATTGATATGTGGACAGATTCATCATTTTTTAAAACTAATTTTATCTTGGGAGTGGTTACATATATCACTTATAAATTGGGGTCTGCTTTCTATATAGCAGGATAAAAATCCCCAGGATTTCTGAGCAAAGAAATTAAGCCCAGAGACAGAAAGACAAGTTAATGATGAGCTGTAATAGTCTAGGTGGGAGATAATGAACGCCTGTGTTAGGGCTAAAAGAGAGATTGCAGAGATGGACCGAAATTGTCCAGACTGACTGGCTGTCGTTGAGAGGAGGAGAGGAGTCAAAGATTACTGGATTTCAAGTTAAATTTGGGGAATGGAGAGGAAAGATGACAAATTCATTTTTGGACATGTGCCTAAGCAACCTTATGCCAGCTATGTAGAAATAGCAGGGCTACAGTTAGAAGGACTGAACTCTAGAGGACTTCCAAATTTCAGATAGACAAAAGAGAGGCAGAAGAGAAGTTATGTTTGGGCGTCAGGATAACCAAGGAACAGAATGTTTCAAGGAGAAGGTGGTATGAAGTGTTACATGCTGCCTCATCAGTGTATATGTTTACCTTCTTCCTGTCTTAATTGCTCAGAACTCCCATTTGACACAAATAACTCCTCACTACAAGTTTATTGAAGATAGCCGGTAGCAGTCACCCAGAATGAATGAAGAAGTTTGCTAAGGAGGAAAAGATAAAAATGGAATGGTAGCTTAAGAGGGAAGTGTGGGGATGAGAGGGCTTGTGAAGGATAGAAAGGATGATATGTAAGCTAGTATGTGTTGGTATGGGGAAAGGTTGAAAAGAAAGACTAATCCATAAAGTTATAGTATTAAAAGCACAATTAGCTGAATTAGATTTAAAGGCAAGAGATTGGTAAGTTTCCCAAGATAGGAGAGAAATAGTATGAATTCTTATTTTAAAAAGAATAACGTGAAAGTATAGTGTTATTTTATTTTTCTTTGAGGATTTTTTAAATTAAAAAAGCAGTACATGCTTCTAAAAATTCAAATAATATAGAAGTGTTTAAAGTAAAATGTTATAGACCTGCCTGTCCCTCCTAATTACCACACCTTAGAGATAACCACGTTAATCATTTGGTTTGTGCCCTTCCTAGTGTTCACAACAGGAGGACTCTTGGTATTTTGGGTGGGACAGTTTATTATTGTGTAGGGTTGTCATGCTCATTGATGAAATTTTAATATCTTGCCTTCTCCCCAGCCAGTCTGCAGCCCCAACTCTGTTCCCTAGATTATAGTATTATCCCCCAGTTAAGAACCTATAGAGTTCTTTTTCAATACACATACAAAATCGCATACAATTATTTCTTTAAAAAATAGTAGTGGTATACATTTGGCTATGCAACATTAATTTTTCCCTAACTCCTTATTAGGATATACAAAAATACATTGTTTTTCTAACGCTTCATCATTTTCTATAGTATGGATGTGCCATTATTTATTTAACTTTTTCCTTGTTGAAGAGTAAATTGTTTCTGTGTTTTCACCTTTCTCAATAATGGTGCCATGAGCAACTTTGTTCATCTTGACTACAACCTGGGGCATATATTTCTGTGAGAGTGATTGCTACAGGTAGAACTGTTGGGACTACGAGAATATACATTTAATATGCTGAAATATAATGATTGTGGTTATTTTTAAAACTATACTTTGAAAGTAATATAATATATGATTTAGTATAATACTGCTGGCAAAACCACTTAAATTTTTTCTAAACTTGCTAGATTATCTGTACACTTATCACTGTAATTTGAAATTATGTAGAAAGAATAATAAATGCTACAGTATCACATTTTGAAATAATTTATTTCCTGTTTTCTAGGTTGCTTTGCCTAATTGACTACTATGAATCCAAAATTAGAAAACTTCATAAACAAAGGTATAACTAATCCTGTATGGCAATTTTTAAAATACTATCCAGTTGTGAATCACACCAAAAGTAGTCAGCCTTGTGAAACCTAAAATATGCTTTGGAAATCTACCTAATATGTAACTATGAATTTTTTAATAAAGCTCTTGAAGATTGTATTTTACTACTTATGTTAAAATCTATTGTTGCATTTATATTAAATATATATATTTATTTCGCCAAAATATTGGTTACAGAAGAAATAGGATTTATTGTATATTTTAAAGTATTATAATTTATTCTATTTGATGTCATCAAGCCATCAGATACTGAGTATATTCACAAAGTGATATAATTAGATACCTACCAAAGTGCAGTCTAATTAGTGTGCAGATTTATATGAGCTAAAGATAAAATGTCATAGAGAAAAATCAAGCATATAGACTAAAACACAGTTTACCTCTGATTAAAGAAATTAAGGGTAAAGATAAAAATAATGGTCTTCAGTTAACCTAAAATAGCTGAATAATCTAAGGCCAAATGACCTAAAGTGCTTTCATATACTATGGTCATTAAAATAGTAGCTATTCTATTTCATCGTTTATAGATGGGACAGTTCTTTTAACAGATACTTATTTGAGCACCTTCTTTGTGCCATGGTTTGGTTTAGGGACTAAGGATACCATGATAAACTAAGCAGATAAATCTCCACTTTCATCAAGCATACATTCTAGTATTTTTAAGAAAAATAACTTTCCAGAAACTCAGCAGGACCACTGACAGAGCTGTGCTGGTTGCTGATTCCTTCAAACCCAGCCGTGGGCAAACTACGGCCCGTTTGAAATGAATAAAACTATTGAAAAAAAAGACCGTACCCTTTTATGTAATGATGTTTACTTTGAATTTATATTAGTTCACACAAACACTCCATCCATGCTTTTGTCCCGGCCCTCCGGTCCAGTTAAAGAACCCATTGTGGCCCTCGAGTCAAAAAGTTCTAGCCCCTTGAGACTCTTTAAAAAAGAGAGCACTCTCTCTCTTTTCCTCTCTGTAAAAAATCAAAATATATTTAAAAATAAATAAATAAATAAAAATAAAAAAGAGAGCAGATGGAGGGAAGAAGTGGAAAAAAGTGAAAGGAAGGGAAGACAAGAACAGCTCATGGTAGAATGACTCCTTGCTTCATTCTATTCAGAAAGCAGTATTATAAGTAACTGCAGGGACCTTCTGGTTTTCAAATGAAACTTATGTTTTAGATGGTAGGCATGGTGTTAGCTTCTACAGAGATAGGACAAAGTTTTAGGTAGGATCCTTATATTCTAGGATTTTGCAGTCTGTTAAGGGAAATAAAATGTCCACTTATACTTTACATTTTTTCATATAGTTATTTTGGTGACATAAAAGTACTAGAAGGAAAAAAACAGTATGTTTTGTTTGTTTACTCATTCAACAAGTGCTTTTTCATTCACTCTTAGGCTCCATACTCTTCTAGAAAATGAGATACCATGGCAAACAAGACAAAGTTCTGGTTTCCATTGATCTTATATTTTAATTAAGATGATAGCAGATATATTACTATTAGGTAGTAGTACCTAATACCTAATACCATTCTCTATAAGGACAAGTAGGAAATTTGGCTTAA